GTTCAGGGTCGCGGAATTCCGTCCTGAGAAGCGTATTAATCCTGCTCGTCTTGGGGATTTATCGTGCCGAATGCCTTCGATTTTGCTCGACTGCTGTGTTCTTTATAAGCTCTACACAATGTAAATAGATGAGCCTGGCAGAATTGGACCTTAAAATCGATTCGTGAACGCGGCGCGCTTCCCCGATGGGGTCTCTGGGGTTACATTAGGTTGCGTTCATACTTCGCGACAGCGTCCACCAGCGTTCCGAGCGCCCGGCAGCGTAAGCGACTAGATGTCGATCTAGCGTCTGCCAACGTCTGCCAGCATCTGCCCCGTCTACCCTCGTCCACTGTGCCGTCTACCCTCGTCCACTAGCGTTTCGAAGGCCAGGGAAGTGTGGGATGTGGGTATCGATCTAGCGTCTGCCAGCGTCTGTCAGCGTTCGCCAGCGTCTACCAGCGTCCACCAGCGACCAGGAGTACGGTATTGTGTAGTAGTACGGTGCGGTTGCACACGCCACAATTTCACGACGCCTAATCCAGCTGTCTCCTCCCTCCTACTTCCCAATACTTCTCTCCTGGTCGCTCGCGGATGCTGGTAGACGTTCGATATCCACACTTTCCGCCCCTCGAGACGCTGATAGTCGCCGGACGCTCGTAAAGTTGGTAGACGCTAGTGGTCGCTGGTGGACGCTGCCGCAAAGTATGAGCCCAGCTTTACTCTTTGATGGCAACATCCTTTCATGTGGCAGCTAGCACTTCTGAAGAAAGGTGATCAACGTGCCCACAAGCACACCTGACCCCGTTAACCAATCTGAGCACCATTTGCTGTGCCCTTCGACGCATTCGCGTGAAATGGGTTATATACGCTCCATATCCGGGGGATAGGTAAGGCGTGGCCTCATTGCTTCATTTGAACGTCACGTCGGCTGCGTGTTCGATGGAATATTTCCGTTCCAATCCTGTCGCTGTCCAGCGTAGGACAGAATGACAGTTGGGAATATGTACGAAAAACGAAAAATATGCATGTTCGAATGGAGTAGGCAGCCACGCCCCCTCACCCCACCTCTAAAACGTGAAGCATAGGTAGGTAGGTCACACACAGTTTCCGCTGATCGTAAAGGGACAGAAACGAAATAGCTACCTAGCAGTTGTTCCTTCTCCAACTTTTCTCTCCTCCTTCTGATACTGTGAAAAAGAAGGGTACATGAGGAGTAGCATTGGCCGGGTGTCTCCGCCCACAATAAGGGTGCGGCACATGAGGAGTAGCATTGGCCGGGTGTCTCCGCATACAAAAAAGGCCTCCGCCT